TGGCAACACAGACTACGGAGATTAAGCGTACCTGTCTTCCGTCTACGAGCGTCAAGCGGAGAACTAACAATTCACCAGTAGATTCAACAGGCGGTTTGATTGAAAAGTGGAAATCCGTTTTAGTGCTTCGATCAGTCGACAGTGAAGACTATGAAATAGTCCTAGGTGACCCACTGGAACATGCTGTGTTCCGAAGACTGACAACAACGACATCAGCGAAGTACCAACTGGACGCTAAACGCGGAAGGCAAACCAATCCGTCATCACCGATGAAGGCCAACTGTTGTAGTGTCTGCAAATCTGCGTGGAATATGGTTGATATGGACGATGAGCAACAATGAATCCAGTGCCAGAAATGCGGGCGCCAAACACAGCTGTTGAGGTGCTTACAGTGGAGAGGAAGCGTACGTTTGTGTGCATTCCCTCAGTCGATGAGCTTGGATGTCAAAAGTCCGAAGTGACTGAAAACGGCCCTTTAGGGCCACGCTTATTTGATTTATTTGTCTTTAGGTTATTAATTATGTTCAGGGCCTACAATATCGGTATAGATTCCAATTGAGATCGGATGTTGTGGGGGCAATACCTACTTCGTTTCCGAGCCAATTCCCAGGTGGAATGAACACGTGGATGGAAGAAAATTGGCGGATTAGTCCACGGGTACGCGGTTTGGAGAGTTTCATGCTACACCCACGACGGTTATCCATAGTATTGCCGACGACGTATTCACAGACCCCGTCGAGAAAGTCAGCTAGTTTCAGCATAGTATTTAGAATAGCTTTTGACAGTTATATGGAGGGTGAAGTTCTTATTGATGGAGTTTAGCACGTTTTGAAATTTCATTATGGGACACTTCGAAAGCTGACAAAAAGTTAGTTTTATTTCGTATTCGTTGATGATCTTAGGCTGAAAGTTTCAGAATAGTATTTGGAATCGCTTTTAACAGATATATAGAAGGTGATATTCCTAAAGATTTGGTATTGGTAAATTTCCCTTCCGAGAACTCGTTCATTTATGTTAACGATTAATTATTTTATGTTTTTAAGTTAAATAAATTTCCCTTTAATTTTTTTGGTTGTCTGCTGCCTTATTGAAACCGGCGTTATGTTTAGGGTCTGTAATAAGCAAAATTTTTGAGCAACAGTGGTCTGCAGTTGGGATGTTTTTATGGCTTGGAGAGTGGGGATCGATAAGATGCCCTTGATTTTTTGAATCAAGCCGCGTTCGGATGCTGCGCTCTTACCCATAAATACTCCTCCATCAGCCTCCAACTGATCAAGTCTTGAAAACCAGATATTTGTATTCTACCGCATGAGAGACTTGAACCCTAGGTAGTGACCATTTGGTACTTGATTGGAATACGCGTATCCTGTTTTTGACATACAGTGAGTATGGTCAGAGCGTCTGCTAAGCACTCAGAGTCGTACTGCCATTCCCGTCCTGGGACCAGTAAGGACGTAAACCGGTAAACATTAGGATATGCACAAGACTGAATGCATTTGTGGATGGTATAGATGTGTGTGTTGGTTATGATTGAACGTATTCGTGGCTGTAGGTGCAAACACGTTGGGTGGTATAAAGGCGACACGTAATTACGGGGAAGGGCAATCAAGAGTAGGCTAAGGGACTTTAGTCTGTCTTCTTTCGTATTGGTACCATAAGAGGCTAAGGTATCATGTAAGATTGTCTGGTTTTGCTTGTGTATGCACAGCCGAAATCAGACTGATCCGAAGTGTGAACGCAAGATGGTGGCCAACTGTCACTGAGGTGAGTGCATAAGCTACGGCAACTTGTTAGAAACGGATTTCTGCGATACATACACCTCAGAGAAATGCTGATACCTCCTAAAGTATTTACCCTCTTTCTTCATTCTTAGTATCTTATCAATCTTCACTGTGTCATTATGTTGACCATAAATGCAATTCACTCAGTTGTAAACTAGACCGACTCCACACTAGGCCGTTTTCCCAAATTATGAGTAAACATTTCTAAATTCCAGCATTGAATATCGGTGACCGGGAAGAACCGTATTTGCATCCAGCTACTGGAGATAAGTTGGGTCAAAGGAACGCTTCGCACCAAGAGAACACGTAGCTCGAGGTGCAAGAACCTGGACACATATTGGCTCGAGCCATAAGCCCTGTGACTTGACAGGACCTTGCCTGACCCGACCTGAGCAGTTGACTGTTACTCGGTATCCGCTTGTTTCTGATACAAGAGACAGTTAAAAATTCTACTGTGCAACTGTTTTGTCGCTTGTACGTAACCAATAGTCAAGACCATACAAAAATGGTTCATAAAGGCTCTTACCACCACAGGCTTCGCAATGTTCCACTGGTGCCCACCGTTACAAAACCGGCCCAGATAGCCAGAATGCACAATCAAATCATGCAATCATTCTTCTAGCAGTCGGGGTAAAAGAGTTACGAAAAGCTGTGTGTTAGGTAGATAGAGGGAATGGAGTCGGTCTTCACCTTCATCTTTCCAGAACGGCATCCGCAGCTAACTCGGCACTGGACCAAAAGGTTGCCCCAGGGCTACATGACTCGGCCGTTCCGATCAGTATTTTGGTGTGTAGATGAATGCACTATGTGAGGGGTGACCGGGTGCATGAGTGCTGTTTGAATTAGGGAAGCAGTACCCCGGCGCCCTTACCTAACGCCGGTCTTCGACTGCGAGTGATTAACCGAGAGAGTGATTTTCCCGCCGAACCACCTGTATCATTCATTTCTCTTTTGCTTTATCTTCTTCGTATTCTTTCTTTCGATTTCCTTTCTTTTATCCATTTTTTCTCATTCTTCTTACGTTAATCGGTTGACA